GTGTGTGTGTGTGTCAGAATGATTGGCGTCGTGTGCAGTTTTCATCAGGTGCTGTTATCAGTGATATTCCAGCACATTTATGATCATGTCAGTTTTAATAACTCCTCTTTAATATCTGCTTTAGTCTTCGTCATGATCACAGCACATAATACTGCACCAGATACACCAGGCTCACCGCATGTGGAGACGCTGTACAGTGTGTTGTTGTTGTTGTGTTGATGTTGTTGTGTTGTGTGTTGCAGGTTCACTGCGCGGCCGCTGGTGGAGACGGTGTTTGAGAGAGGAATGGCCACATGTTTCGCCTACGGGCAGACGGGCAGCGGGAAAACTCACGTCAGTAAACCACAACACCACATCTGCAGGACCATAATCAATAATCCATAATCCATAATCAATAATCCATAATCAATAATTTATAATCTATAATCCATAACCTGCAATTCATAATCCCTGATTTATCATACATAAACTATAACCTATAATCCATAACCTATCATACATCATATCTGCAGTCTATAATCTATAACCAAAATCTATGATCAGTAATGTATAGTACATTATCTATAGTCTATCATCTATAATGAGTAATCTATATTCTATAATCCATAATCTATATTCCTCACTTCCAGACCATGGGTGGAGATTTTTCTGGGAAGAACCAGGACTGTTCCAAAGGCATCTACGCTCTCGCTGGTAATACACACACACAAACATGCACACACAGACACACATACACACAGACACACACACACACACACACATTTTGTTTGTGTTCCAGCGCGGGATGTTTTCCTGATGTTGAAGAAGCCGATCTATAAGAAGCTGGACCTGCAGGTGTTCTCCACCTTCTTCGAGATCTACAGTGGGAAAGTGAGTGTCCACACCAGTGTGCTGAACAGCTGTGTGCAGTTGGGTGATGCAGACTGAAGAAACTTTCCATGCTCAAGCTTGTGTCTGCCACTTCTCAGACTGTTGTCAAACGGCTATCAGTCAGTTGTCAGTCTGTTGTCAGTCAGTTGTTAGTCTATTGTTAGTCAGTTGTCAGTCAGTTGTCAGTCAGTTGTCAGTCAGTTATCAGACTGTTGTCAGTCAGTTGTCAGTCTGTTGTCAGTCTGTTGTTAGTCAGTTGTCAGTCTGTTGTCAGTCTGTTGTTAGTCAGTTGTCAGTCGGTTATCAGTCAGTTGTCAGTCTGTTGTTAGTCAGTTGTCAGTCAGTTGTCAGTCAGTTGTCAGTCTGTTGTCAGTCTGTTGTCAGTCAGTTGTTAGTCAGTTGTCAGTCAGTTGTCAGTCAGTTATCAGACTGTTGTCAGTCAGTTGTCAGTCTGTTGTCAGTCAGTTGTCAGTCAGTTGTCAGTCAGTTGTCAGTCTGTTGTCAGTCTGTTGTCAGTCTGTTGTTAGTCAGTTGTCAGTCAGTTGTCAGTCAGTTGTCAGTCAGTTATCAGACTGTTGTCAGTCAGTTGTCAGTCTGTTGTCAGTCTGTTGTTAGTCAGTTGTCAGTCGGTTATCAGTCAGTTGTCAGTCTGTTGTTAGTCAGTTGTCAGTCAGTTGTCAGTCAGTTGTCAGTCTGTTGTCAGTCTGTTGTCAGTCTGTTGTTAGTCAGTTGTCAGTCGGTTATCAGTCAGTTGTCAGTCTGTTGTTAGTCAGTTGTCAGTCAGTTGTCAGTCAGTTGTCAGTCTGTTGTCAGTCTGTTGTCAGTCTGTTGTTAATCAGTTGTCAGTCGGTTATCAGTCAGTTGTCAGTCTGTTGTCAGTCTGTTGTTAGTCAGTTGTCAGTCGGTTGTCAGTCAGTTGTCAGTCTGTTGTTAGTCAGTTGTCAGTCTGTTGTCAGTCTGTTGTTAGTCAGTTGTCAGTCGGTTGTCAGTCTGTTGTCAGTCTGTTGTCAGTAAGTTGTCAGTCGGTTGTCAGTCAGTTGTCAGTCAGTTATCAGTCAGTTGTCAGTCTGTTGTCAGTCAGTTATCAGTCAGTTGTCGGTTGTCAGTCATCAGTTGGTTGTCAGTCAGTTATCAGTCAGTTGTCAGTCGTCAGTTTGTTGTCAGTTGGTTGTCAGTCGTCAGTTGGTTGTCAGTCAATTATCAGTCAGTTGTCATTCAGTCGTTAGTTGGTTGTCAGTCAGTTGTCATTCAGTTGTCAGTCGGTTGTCAGTCAGCTGTTAGTCAGTTGTCAGTCAGTTGTTTGTCAGTTGTCAGTCAGTTGTCGGTTGTCAGTCGTCAGTTGGTTGTCAGTCAGTTGTCATTCAGTTGTCTGTCGATTGTCAGTCAGTTGTCAGTCAGTTATCAGTCAGTTGTCGGTTGTCAGTCGTCAGTTGGTTGTCAGTCAGTTGTCAGTCGATTGTCAGTCAGTTATCAGTCAGTTGTCGGTTGTCAGTCGTCAGTTGGTTGTCAGTCAGTTGTCAGTCGGTTGTTTGTCAGTTGTTAGTCAGTTATCAGTCAGTTATCAGTCAGTTGTCGGTTGTCAGTCGTCAGTTGGTTGTCAGTCAGTTGTCAGTCGGTTGTTTGTCAGTTG